CGTTAGTTTTCGCGCTGTCGGAAAGTGATAGCTTAGACGTGCTATCGTACGTAATGGTGTATTTCCCAAGTTGAACCTGAAGCTGTATGGCGTACGTCTGATTATCATCAATCGTGAACGTTTGCTTAATTTCATCATTATTAGAGGTGAGAGGCTCTCCCCTTCCTGATGTGATACTCGTGGTGAAGTTCGGTGACTTTGAAATTCTAATCCATTTACTATTGCTACTATTCGCTATCGAACTTAAATCCGTTAAAGTACTTAAATCCGTTAAAGTAGCGCTTACGGTAATTGTTTTTTGACTTGCCGTTGGAGCAGTTGCGATAGTACTTGAGAAGGTAATGGCTTGACTTGGATTTATCTTACTTTTATTGAGCTTGATATTTCCATTCCATAACTTGTGTGTTGTTCGTTGAATTTTCCCGCTCCCACTTATGTGCAACTGTTCTGGAACAACGAGATCGCCCGATAAAGTTAAATCTTTACTACCCAAAAGCGTTAGATTGTGCAGCGTATCCAGATTACTGTGAAGGGTACCCGCAGTTGTCAAATTCAAAGTGAGTTTTCCACCCGAACTTGTGATAATGTCACCTCTTGTATTTGCCTTAAGTGTTATAGTTGGCACACCCGTGACTCCAATCGCTCCACCGCGTAACAAAAGTGTGTCAGATAACTCTATGGTTTTTATCACTGACGACTCAGCTGCGTTTAGGGTAACATTGTGCTCTACTTGAACTTCATCATCTTTATCGGGAGTTAAGTAGTACTCCCATACATTTGTCGCGTCGCTGCTACTGTACCAATTGCCATTTTTAACAGTTTTCCTTTTTTGAGGTACTGTAAAGGATTGTAGTGGATTATAGGTTACTGAAATATTGCCTATAGTTGCGGTTACTTCAATGTTTAACATCGAACCTATGGACAAATTCGAAAACTTAAAGAGAACAGAATCTGTATTGCTTGCAGATATGGGGTTGACGGTTTCGGTACTAATTTTTCCCCTAAACTGAACTCCTTCTATTTTTGTTTTGTTATCAAATAGCTTAAAACTAATTATACCTTCGTTACGAGCGGTTAGGCGTGTAAGACGTGCCACCTGGGTTAAGGGCGGGTTAATTTGGATGTTTTGTACATTTTGATTTAGAACAAACAATGCATAGTTATTGCGGTGTATTGTATCCGTACGCATAGCGTTACCTTCTAATTGTTGCCCAATAATGAGGTTTCCACTAAGAACAATATCTCTGCTTGTAGTTAGCTTATGAAGTGCATTAATTTGAGGAGGAAGTGTAAGACGTTTAGTGGAAGCATTGAATGTTAAACCACCTGGCGCACCCGCCACTGCAGACGACTGTACCGTGCCTTTACTATTAGGATTATTTATGCTCACTGTATCCAAAGTAAGTACATTTGAACCTAATTTTAACGTGTCCGATGTAAGAATAAGATGACTCACGTTCGAATTTGAAGTTAACGAAACATTATGCTTGATTTCCACCGTGTCTGTTAGTTTTGGAGCAGATACTTCGCCCCACGTGGAGGGAGCGTTCCAATTACCCACTTTTTCGGAAATAAAGCGTCTGTTTTGTATCTCAATGCGAAAAGGAACCTTTGCTGAATCTTTTATCCCATTTACCTCATATACTATATGCACTGTATCAATGAAAATACCCCCTGTTGCATTAGGTGTAAACTGAAACACAAATCCTATAGTTCCATTCAAATTAACATCTTGCGGGAGTACCGGTTGCGGTGTACCCGTTGAGAGCGTTATGCCTTCGTAACTTAGTGTGCCAAGATTAGTATTTCCATCTCCTTTAATAGTTACTTTAGTAAATTTATGCGTTTTGTTTGTTCCATTAGTAAATACTAAGGTGTCATTACGAGCGGGTTCTCCGGGTCTTAGCTTTTTTGGTTTTGAAAATGTTAGTGTTGCGGGGGAATAAGTTAAACTTTGACTTTGTCCAAAAATTAACTCTGCATCCGAAGCGCACGTCAAAAGGAATAAAACAAAGCACGAAATATAACGGAAATGTAGTTTATTTTTCATTTTGATATTGATTTTGATTTAATAATGATACCAACTTCTATTTGATTCATAAATAATGATTTGTGTGCCTGCCTTAGCTTTGAAAAAACAATCTTACCAATATTAATACTTTTAATGTTCAAAAAATTTTTCCCTGTCAATTAGTTACGAAAGTAAAAATAATATATTCTGTTAATCATTTTCATCTTTGTTGAGGGTAACGTTTTCTGTGGATGTGGGGTAGTTTCCTGTAAAGCATCCCGTACAGTAACTTGTTTCTTCGTCTTCATACTTTGGTACACTTTCAATGAGTTTTTCGAAAGATAGGTATTTCAGGCTATCTATTTCAAAATGTTCCGCGAGTTTAGAAATGTTTTCTCGAAAATGGTGAGCAATGAGTTTTTCTTTGTCTGAAATATCAATGCCGTAGTAGCAGGGCGATATAATTGGAGGTGAAGCAATGCGGAAGTGAATGGACTGCGGTTGTCCTTCTTTAATAAGTTTTACTAACTCTTTAATGGTTGTGCCACGAACAATTGAATCATCAACGATAACTAAGCAGCGGTTGTGTAATATGCCTTTAACTGCGTTCAGTTTTGAGCGGACTTGTTGTGAACGGTCCTTTTCAGACGGGTTAATGAATGTTCGTCCCGTGTAGTGATTGCGAATAAGTCCGATTTCAATTCGGGAGGGATAGCCAAGTTTATTGCTTTCGGTAACATATCCTAATGCACTTGTGTTTGAAGAATCGGGCACACTTATTACTGTGGCGTAGTCTTCTTTTTTTAGGTCTTCTATGGGTGATTCTTGGGCTAAATTTTTGCCTAATTTTCTTCTGACTTTATCAACAGAATGCCCAAAAATAGTGCTATCAGGACGGGAAAAATAAACATACTCAAAAATGCACCGTGCTCGCTTTGGCGTTCTGGGCAAATGCAATGAAATTTGTTGTTGGTTAGTTAAAAGAATTTCACCAGGTTCAATTTCCCTTTCATAGACAATTTTTGAAATGTCAAAAGCGCATGTTTCGCTCGCAATCACATTTAATACTGTACCGTCATCAAGTATTTTTTTTCCAATTACAAGGGGTCTGAACCCTTTTGGATCTCGTGCTGCAATAAGACCCTCCTCGGTTAGTATTACAAGGGAGTATGAACCTTCAACTTGTAAGAGTGCCTCTTCGATACGTTCTAATAAGGTGTCTTTTTTACTTCGTGCAATTAAGTGGAGCAAAATTTCCGTATCAGATGACGCTTTGAATATAATTCCATCTTTGATTAATGACTCGCGTAGGGGTTTTGCATTGGTAAGATTGCCATTGTGGGCAATGGCTAAATTTCCACCATGATATTTCGCATAAAGTGGTTGAATATTTTCTGTGAGCGTTGAACTGCCCGAAGTAGAATAACGCGTGTGACCTATTCCTGAATACGCCCGACTCATCATATCTTTCAATGAATCCGTCGGTTTGAAAACATCTGAAACTAATCCGAACCCTTTGTGAATACTGAACCGCTTTTTGTAATTCTTTTTTTCACATGTTACAATGCCAGCGCCCTCCTGACCGCGATGTTGCAACGCATTTAGTCCATAATAGATATGCTTGAATATCAAGTCGTCTTCTACGGGACCTGACGAAAAAATACCATAAATGCCACACATCGTATTTACTTTTTTTGTTAATAATGTAACGCCTTAATTTTTTTGGATAATCTCTTTTGTATCAAATTTAATGGATTCAATATGGTTCTTTGTTGCTGAAAGAATGGTCACGATCATATCATCGTAATGGAATGATTCGCCCGTTTCAGGAATACGCTGTAAATGATCCAAAACAAATCCTGCAACTGTTTCGTAGCTCTCTCCCGTTATATCTATGAATGAAACGTCCCGAAATACCTCCGTCTTCAATTTGCCATTAACTACAAATGTCGTCGCATCTTGTTGTAGCCATTCAGGTTGCGTCTTTTTTCGCCCCCTAACTCCACTGTCAATTTTAAAATCGCCAATAATTTCCTCCGTTAAATCCGTTACTGAAATAATACCCGTTGTTCCACCATATTCATCAACCACAACCGCAATGTGTGTGTCTTTGTGCCTGAAAAAATCTTGAAAAATGTCAAATAACTTTCTGGATTCAGGAACAAAAAAAACAGGCTTTACCATATCTGTAATCCTTTGCGAAGAAGCAAAAATATCCCCCAAGTCTATGTACCCAATAATCGTATCAATCGTTTTATCATATACAATGACCCGAGAATGTAGAACTTGCTTGAACTTTTCTCTTACATCCTTGATAGAACTTTGCTTGGAAACCGCAATGATGTCTTTTCGTGGAATCATGACCTCTTTTGCAGTAACTTTTCTGACCTCAAATAAATTAGATATGATTTCAACATCCTTCTCTAACTCTAACCCACGCCGTTTGTTCTGTGAAATGATCTCTCTTAAATCATGCTTAATAAAAAATGTACCTAAATTTTTATCGCTACCCAATATAAATGAAAACCATTTCCCAATCGATGTTGTCCCACTAATGAAAAAGCGAAGCATTGGTTTGAAAATCAAAAGTACAGGCGAACTGTAAATAATTATTAACTCAGGAAATAATTCACTTAACACTTTGGGAATAATTTTAAGCAATCCAATCGTAAGCGTAAGTGCAGAAAAAAAATAAATATCTAATTCATCAAAAAAAAGTGTGAGCAGAGAACTAACTAATATCAATGAAATCGTTTTACCAAACCAACATACTTTCAGACTATCCGACGACGTATTCATCACGTCATGAGCGTGCTTTACAAAAAATGAATCTGAATTGTATGCTTGCTTAAACAGAAACTGGTTCGTTGCAATAATCGATTTTTCAATAGAAGAAAACACTAATCCTAAAAGTGCTAAAAAAAATAAGACGAGCAAAAGAGGAACATCCATCGATTAGAGGCGACAATAATTAAAAGTTACCTGACTGTGGAGCTAAGGAGATTTGAACTCCTGACCCTTTGCATGCCATGCAAATGCTCTACCAACTGAGCTATAGCCCCAAATTACCCTTTCTCACATAAGCCCTCAAAATTACTAATAAAAAACATTTTAACGTGAGTTTTTGTAAATGTATGTACTCGCTTGCGCTCCATAAACCCAGTCTGAACGTGATTTACATGATTAAATGATTACCATGATTTTTACACAAACGGTTTTTTGATAACAAAAAATCAAATTTTGATAACAAAAAATCAAATTTTGATAACAAAAAATCAAATTTTGATAACAAAAAATCAAATTTTGATAACAAAAAATCAAATTTTGATAACAAAAAATGAAATTTTCAAAACAAAAAATGGTTTTGAGCGAACTCAAAATGGTTTTGAGCGAACTCAAAATGGTTTTGAGCGAACTCAAAATGGTTTTGAGTGAACTCAAAATGGTTTTGAGCGAACTCAAAATGGTTTTTCGTCATGAAAAGCCTTCATTCTGTGTAATTTTGCCATATTTAACCGCATGTTACAAATAAAACCATGAAAGCGAAATACGTCAATCCATTCACGGATTTTGGGTTTAAGAAGATTTTCGGGGAGGAAGCAAGCAAATCGTCCCTCATTGACTTCCTGAATGCACTTTTGCCTAAAAAGGAAAATTAGAAGGAAAATTAGAAGGAAGGTTAGAAGGAAGGTTAGAAGGAAGGTTAGAAGGAAGGTTAGAAAGGAATATTGAAATTATTGTAAAAAAATATCCACACTTTGGCATTGAACAACTTGCTGCACTTACAGATTTGTCTGTGGATGAAGTAAGAATGATTTTGAAAGAACATAAAGTGTTGTAACCAAAGATTTTAGTTGGATAAATAAGAAGTTGAATAAAATTACGAAAGAATAATATGGCAGTTTTACCGGTTTACGTTATAAGTCTAAAACGTTCGGAGGAAAGAAGAACATGGGTGAAGGAGCATTTAGAATCAAATGGTGTTTCGTTTGAGTTTTTTGATGCTGTGGAAGGAAAGACGTTGGACAAAAGCTTTATTAAAAACATTGTGAATGTAGAGAAATCTTACATTGCGATGAATCGTCAACTTTCAAATGGAGAAATTGGTTGTGCATTCAGTCACATTAATGTATTCAAAAAAATGGTTTCTGAAAAAATACCTATGGCGATAGTCTTAGAAGATGATTGTAGAATTATTGAACAAGAGAGTTTTATTCATATTTTAAATCTCGGGGGTAAACGACATTAAACCATACGGGCTTGTTTTATTGGGCTACACGACGGCGGAGATGTATCGACAAACCCAACGTTATGATATTGCTGCAATGAGGGTTTGTTCATTTAAAAAGCGTCTTTTGCATGATTTAGAAATAGTGACTCCTGACGATTTATATTATCTGACCATTGGTTACGTCATAACAAATAAAGCAGCTGCACAATTATTGAAACATATATTTCCGCTTAGAATGCCAATTGATTGGGTGACGGGTTTGTCTGAAAGGTATGGGGTGAGATTGGGTGTTTTAAATAAGCCTGTTGTTTGTCCGAATGAAAACATACCGTCTGAAATAAATGATAGAGAAATAGCACCGCCGCGAATTGAAGTATTACATTTGAATCCAAAAATCGCTTTTATTAAGAAAATCTTTTTTTGTAATAAAATGAATAAAAAACTATGGAGCATATTGAAGTCAATCTTTAATCGCCTTCCTGGTGCGTGGAGATTGCAATATCCTGAATAGAAAATTAAATACATAGCCGAAATGATTTGCGTCCGCGCATTTTTCTTATCTAATTCTTCTGCAATTTTCTTAGTGGGTAAGAGTTTTATAACATAGGTGAATTCTATTTTGAGACGAGAATCTTTCCAAAGATTGGTTTTTCACCTTGAAAGAGAATGGAATAAAAATAAACACCATTTGCAACGAAGTTTCCGTTTGAGGTTGTTCCGTCCCAAAGTTCTTCATACTCTTGATTTTGTGTTTTGATTTCGTTAGATGAAATGGTTTTAACTACGTCCATAGCGAAGTCTAAAATTTTAATGGTAACGGGTTTATTTGCCAGTGCTTTAAAACGGATTCTGACAAATTGGTGTTGGTTAGGTGTAAATGGGTTTGGGTAGGCGTAAGTAAGTTTATTTTCATCAACGGGAATTTCAGCACGGATGATTGAGAAGGTTTCCATTACGTTATTTGTGTATGCTAATCCTTCGTTTGTTGCGATCCAAATTCGAAAGTGGGTGTCAAATTTTTGAGTGGATAAATGATTGAGTGAGACGAGATTGGTTAGTATTTTATTCTTGTTTTCTTTATCAACGAAAGGGGGATAAATAAATTTCCAATTTTTGCAGGTGTCGTTTGCTATAAATACGTCACTATTTGTTGTGGCAAAGATGTTTTCGTAATGAAAGGCAAGATTAGACAAAGTGATATTAGAAATGGGAGTTTTCCATGTTTCGCCGTAGTTGGTAGAGAAAGAGATGGCATCGGTACCGTTTTCAAATCCTCTGCTTGTTGAAAGCCAGATAATGGGTGTGCTGTTAGGAAACGTTTGCTCTTTGATGTCAAGTATGACCTGTGAAGGAAGTTTTCCAAATTCTTTATCGAATCTTTTCCAAGTTGGGAGCGGATCAGAAGGATTAAACGACACGATTGCGCATGATTTTGTTCCGACCCAAAGTGCCCCGTTTGAAGCAAAAATGGCGTGGGTTACTAAATAAACGCTGTCTCCGTAACGTTTTCCCCTTATAGTTTCTACGTGACCTAATTGGAGTCCTTGTATGGACGTTGAGGGTGCGAGAGTATGAGTGTGTTTAGGTGGTAAGAAGATTCGTTGCCATGTTTGTCCAAAATCTTTAGAGCGTCTTAAGCCACCTTGATTAGCAGCAATCCAAACGTCATTGCTGTTTGGGTCAAGGGCAATGCTTGTAATGTAAAACTGTGACCCTTGTTTTGATTCATAAAGCGGAAGCATTCGTTGTGGAATAAGAGAACCATAATAACCTATGGTGTCCACTATTTTATCATACGGAAAGTTTATGTTTTTCCAAGTTGTGCCCTGGTCAAAACTTGCTATCATTTTGGTTTGTGTGCTAAGCCAAATCATATTTTTTTTTGTGCTCATAGAAATGTACGTCAAGGATTCTGTGTACACTGCTTGAAAGTTTTTGTAGTCGTTTGTTTTAAATAATCCTTTGTTTGTTAATATCCAAAATGAGTTATTGTGTATTGAAGTTTCGAGAATGGTGTTTGTAGGTAAATTTTGTGCAAGGCTGCTGAAAGGATAGATAAAATGGATAAGCAGGGCGAAAAGAAGAATCTTGTTTTGCTGTAACATGGTTGTTTAATGATTATCACATTAAAAAATATAACTGACCGAAATGACACTCATCCCAAAAGGTGCAAATTTTTCATATATCAATGCGTACGAAATGGCTACGTTTTGATGATGAGTAATTGGGATGTTGGCTGTGAATCCAAAACTCCATTTGATATTTTCCTCCTCGCTTTTTAGGTCAAGATTTATTCTGTCTATACCCGCACGTAGTTTGAAGTGTTTTAAAAGTTCGAGTATAATACCCGCTTTAATAAGAATGCTATTGTTTAACGAAGGATAACTATGTTGGGTCAGAAGGACTTCGTTTTCAAAAGAAAATAACATGCTTTGAATAATCACGTTCTTAATGTAATATGAAAAGCCGCTACGAATTGAAATGGGAAATGATTCTTTCAAAGAGTTAGAATTTGAAACCCAAGTCCAGTTTGCATTAATGTCTGAAATACTTATTCCAATAGAGAGGGTGTGTGATGAATCGGGTACTAATGGATGGAGGTAACTTAAACCAAAGTCAAATCCAAATGAAAAGGAGGGTGGTAAAGATTCGTAAGTTTGGCTAAGTATAATCGTGTGGAAATACCTACTGATAGCTTATTAAAGAAATTTACACCAAAGTTCAGTTTATGTCCAAATGATAAAATGAGTGCATTTTCTGTTGAAAAGCCATATCCTGTATTTTCGCCAGACGTATTGCGAAAATCTATGTTTGTTACGCCTGCATTAATGAATGAAACCCCGATTCCTGCCCCTTCGTTGACGGGTAAGTACGCATATCCAAAATTGAGTAATCTATCATAAGGTAGATAGGTGTAAGCGGCACCGATTAAGTATTTTTTTCTGAATCCAAGTAAAGAAGGGTTGTAAAATGGATTGGCTTCGTGGTCGTTTGTTACTGCAACGCCTGCGTTACCTAATCCTATGCCCGTTGAAGAAAATCCCATCCTAACAAATGCTCCAGCCGTTCCCGCTGTTTGTGTATAGAGATCGTTAGAAATTCCGCTTATTATTGAAAATGACATAATCAAAAGTAGCGTCATGGTTGAGTTCCAAATGAACTTTCGTATTGTTAGGAAGCGTGTTATTGAAATTTTCATTTGAAGTCCGCAAAGATATTAAAGGCAACCGTGAATGTGTGAGCTGTAAAATGGTCACTTCTGTAAAAGAAAGCATAACGAAGATGTATCTTGTTCAAGCCAAGTACGTCATTTAGAAAGGTTGTCGGTAAACAGTGAATTTCCAACCCAAATTTGTATGTTTGAAATTCGGATAAATCATAATCGGAAGTATAGAAGGGCGATTGACCAAGCTCGTGTTGGGCATAAGGTTTGAAGTAACGAGAAGCCTGTTGATTGTAAAATCTAAAAAAGGGAGTAAGCGTAACGTCGTGAAGGACTTTAATTGTTGTGTGAAGTTCGATTGATTCACTTAAAATGCCAAACGTATCCCAATAAACAGAAACAACGGGTTTCAAAATAAATTTATCGCCAATGAAACTGTTTAGATTTAAACTGCCAAGTATTTTTAGTCGCTCGTAAGGTAATTGCTCAACCTTAACTGTGGGATTGTCGGGTAACCCATTTGTGAAATAGACGCGATGAAAAGGAGTGGCGAGCAAGCCTGTTTGGTAAGAAATTTGAGGAAAAAATCCAAGAAGGGTTCGTTTATTAATGACATGAGTAAATCCAAATTGTGCATTATATGATTGACGTAGTGGTGTTGAATACCG